AATATTTCTCTGCGCAAGGTTGTAAAAGGACGGCTGCACTGAGATTCGAGAGAGTTTTGGTTGGTGGCGCTGGCGCGTGCGGCGCGCGCGGGGGGTTAGAGACAAAGCGGCCATGCGCCAAACACCATACATACATACACCACGCTGGCCACCCCACCGTCATTACTTGTTCACCAACCGCCGTACACTCACCTCAGAGAGACTGGACTTGGCTCTGGAGGACACGAAACGATACGGCCAACAGTCCAGCAGAAGCACTGTGTATAGTCGATGCTCGCAGCTTCTAACAGACTGTGTGCAGCATCATGCAACGCAGTGAATCCTCGATGCTATGCCAGCAAAAAAAATACAGTGGCCGCCCAGAACAGCAACTCGGTTTCCCCTTCGTGGTCGCATGCAGTCTAATAGCCCCCACCGTCACCATCGCCGCGCGAAAATCCGGCCGTCTGCCTGCGCTGGTTCTCCTCGAGCTTCGGACAGTCTTTGATGCCGTGGCCGAGTCCGCCGCAGATCGGGCAGCCCGTCAGCCCGCCCGCGCCCGCCGCGCGGGGGTCCTCGATGGCCGCCAGGAAAGGCGGAATGCGCTGCTTGGCCTCCATCAACAGATACTTGAGATCGAGCAGCGTCTGCTCCGCCGTGTTCATGTTGACAAACGTCGTCGCGATACCTGTCTTACCCGAGCGGCCCGTACGACCTATCTGATGGACGTAGTCTTCAATCTCCTTGGGCATCGTGTAGTTGATCACGTGCTGGATCTCGTTGAAATCCAAGCCTTTGCTCGCGACACCGCTGGCGACCATCACGTCCTTCTGCCCGCTCTTGAAAGACTTGATCGCGTACTCGCGCTCCTCCTGTGTCTTGCTGCCGTGGATCGCCACCGCTTCGACGCCTTTGAGCAGGAGGTATTCCTGGATATCGTCGACCTCGTTCTTATTGTCGCTAAAGATGATCACGGGCGGGGCCGTCTTCTGCAGACATTCGAGCAGATAAACCATCTTAGCCTCCTGCTTAACGTACTCCACCTCCTGGATGATGTCCAAGCTCGCTGCGCCGGCACGGCCGACATTCACGACGATCGGCTTGATCAGACTCTGTTCTGCAAAGTCCTGGATCTTCTTGGGCATCGTTGCCGAAAAAAGAAGCGTCTGCCGTTGCTTCTTGAAGAATCCCATAATGTTTCGTACGTCCTCTTCGAAGCCCATGTCGATCATACGATCGGCCTCGTCCATACAGAGATACTTGCACCAGTCGAGGGTGAAGCGCTTCTTTTCGAGCATATCTTGCAGACGGCCGGGCGTAGCCACGACGATGTGAAAGCCCTTGGACATGGTGTGCTGCTGATCGGCCATGCTGATGCCTCCGATGCAGAGCAGGACGCCGATCTGCGGATACCCGTCTCTTTCCATTGCTTCGCAGATTGCTTTGATGGACTCGTACGTCTGACGCGCCAGCTCACGCTGCAAGAAAACACGCAAACGTATCAGCATGGAGGTCGAACTTGAAAGGGGGAGGAAGGCACAATGACTGACAGAGGGGCAGATGATCATGCCTGTCGGGCCTTCTCCTCTTGTATACTCTAATCGCTTCTGCTCCTCCGCTGCAAACATGATGATCGGCAGGGAGAATGCTAGCGTCTTTCCCGAGCCAGTGAACGCAATTCCGATCATATCCCGCCCTGCGAATGCCGTCGGAAGACCTTGCATCTGAATCGGGGTCGGCTTTTTGATGTTTTTGGAACCTAGGTACGAGACCACGCACGACGGTATCTTCATATCCTGCACGCCCGCAAAACCTTTTCGTCAGCAAAATCGTTTCACGTAGGGTGCTTGACAGGAATGGAGACGCACCCTAAAGTTAGTAATAATGGGGGGAATGTCCTCTCCATCGATGAGGATGTGATTCTGCTCCCGTAAGCGTCCATTCTCTTCGTCGCTGCGCTCGCGTATGAAGCGCGGTGCCCTCCAACTAGTTTTGATCGGCTCGGTATACTGGATGCCTTTTGCAAGTTCCGAAGCGCTTGCCAGCTTCTTTTTCGCAGCATGTGCTTCAAGGATCTTGCGCTCCTCCTCCGCCAGCTTCTCGGCCTCCGTCTTGTCTTCATACTTTTCTTTTTCCCTCAACTCCCTAGCCTCATCCATAAGCGCCCTCGTCGATCGTTTCGGCCCATTGTCCTCCTCCTCCTCTTCCTCCTCCTCATCCCCGCCGTTCCCATAGCCTTTGGATCCGGGTACGCGCGATGCACTCGAGCTTTTGTTTAGCTGCTGTGATACCGAGGAAAGCGCAACGGACTTGCTGATCGGGAGCGCGCTTTTCCCGCTGATGCGCTGCAGCTCTTGCAGCTTGCGTTGCTTCAGCGGCACATAGCGCTTCGCTTCGAAGTCTTCTTCGTCCTCGTCAAACATCGCATATATGTCATCCTCTTTCTGCTTTTGGTGTGGCGGAGATAACCGTCGCCGCTTGTAGGATGCGCCCCCGGCGTCGCCATCCTGAGTGGAGGAGCCGCTTGCTTCGATAGCTGTCGGCGTCATCTTGGCCGTTGATCCGACGAGAGCAGGCTGACGCAATCAGGTCCGCCCTTCTGCGATGTCAGCGATCAGCTTGCAAGGTACGCTTGATACATGTCCACAGCATCGCCCGACATCCGACCAAAGGCTGCAGCTGAGCGACTTGTCAAGCGTAGCGTGTGCGCACGTAAGTGATGGCTTGGGCACCCACGTTGAGACGGTTCTTTCTCGAGAGTCATCTCGCTGAGAGATGGGCGGAACCACATCGAGGAGAGAATCTCTCTCATCTCTTGTTCCTTTCGAGTCTCCTTTCTCACGCTCTCCGGGGCTCTATCTCATACGTACCTCAATATCAATAACCTTCTCGCTGGGAGCACCTACTCTTTCCTTCACGACCTGCTCCCTGTGAACAGCACCTGACATCGCCTCCGCCATGTTCTCGCTTGCAGACGTCCAGGCGAGGCTGGCATCGCTCTCCGTCAGCGGAAATAACATCATCTCGCACGCGGCAACCGCCTCGCCGGAAGAGTACAAGAATGCCGTCTCGTCTTCGTCCGCTCCTGCGTCCACCGCACACCTCAAGACACTTGTCTTCAAGCCAAAGACGGCCAAGACGGCCAAGCCAGTCCCTGTCGTAATCATCGCACGAGACGAGACGGACACTGTCACCGGTGCGCTCGGCAAGAAGCTGGACATCAAGGAAATGAGGCTCGCTGCTCCAGAGTTGCTGCAGGAGTTTTTCAACGCAACAAAGGACGATGGTGAGGCTTCATCCGCAGAAACTGTACACGCACAGCATATTTGTCTGCCGGGTAGCTCACCGCAATTTCCCCATTTACCTAGTATCGCCCCTGTCGATCACCTCCTCAAATGCCTCTCAAATCACTCTAGTCATCGACTCTGCACTGGCGTCGTCGTCCGACTCTTTTGCGCTCAAAGCTGGGTCGTCGGATAAAACCATGCTACTGAAGGGTACCGATATCGCCAAGTACCTTGAGAGCAGTGGCGCCAAGGCGCACCTGATTGACTTTGCTGAATTGAAGAAGGATGCGCCGGCGTGAGTTCTCCGCATGATTGTTTGCTATTCAACATTACACATAGTGATTCCCTTTGCCATGCCACCACAGTCCGATCGCAAAGGCAAATGCGTCGTCCGGAAAGGCGGCGTCGGCGCCTTCTGCCACATCAGGATCGATCTCTGCAGACGGCAATGCACGCGCAAAGGCAGCGGACTCGGCCAAGATCGCCGATGCAGAGCTCATCGGTATCACGATCCGCAAAGATGGCGATTTCTCCGAGTGGTATCAGCAGGTCCTCAGAAAGGGCGACATGATTGACTGGTACGATGTCAGCGGCTGCTACATTCTAAAGCCGTGGTCTTACCACGTCTGGCAGTGCATTCAGAGTGAGTGCGCTATCCCCCCTCTTCAAAGAGGATACCAAAATGACATTTTGCATATCGGCAGCCTTCTTTGACGGCGAGATCAAGAAGCTCGGGGTGGAGAACTGCTACTTTCCCATGTTCGTATCGTCTGATGTCCTTGAGCGCGAGAAGGACCACATTGAAGGCTTCGCGCCCGAGGTTGCATGGGTCACCCGCGCCGGCAAGAGCGACCTGGAGAAGCCGATAGCCATTCGGCCGACGAGTGAGACGGTCATGTACCCATACTACAGCAAGTGGATCCACAGCCACCGCGACCTGCCGCTTAAGCTCAACCAGTGGAACAGCGTCGTCAGATGGGAATTCAAGCACCCACAGCCTTTCCTCCGCACGCGCGAGTTCCTTTGGCAAGAAGGACACACCGCCTTCCTGACCAAGGAAGAAGCTACTGTGGAGGTGCACCAGATTCTGGCACTCTACGCGAAGGTTTACACCGACCTGCTCGCACTTCCCGTCGTGCCCGGTGTCAAGTCGGAGAAAGAAAAGTTTGCCGGCGGCCTGTTCACGACCACCGTCGAGGGTTTTATCCCCACGACCGGCCGAGGCATCCAAGGCGGCACCTCGCACTGTCTTGGTCAGAACTTCTCCAAGATGTTCGACATCAGCGTTGAGGACCCGAGGGCCGATGCGTCGAAGCGCGGCACTCGCGAGGGGCGCGCGTATGTCTGGCAGAATTCATGGGGTCTCTCGACGCGCACGATCGGCGTGATGGTTATGGTGCACGGCGACAACAAAGGCCTCGTCATGCCCCCGCGTGTGTCGTCGATCCAAGTCGTCATCGTCGCCGTCGGCATCAACGTCAAGACGACCGATGCGCAGCGTAAAGAGATCTACGACGCGTGCGAGAAGCTCGAGGCGGAGCTTAAGCGCGTCGGCGTGCGCGCCAGGTACGACGACCGTGACAACTACACTCCGGCGTACAAATTCAACGACTGGGAGCTGCGCGGTGTGCCCATTCGCCTCGAGATCGGCCCGCAGGACCTAGCCAAGCAGTCGACGCTGAGCGCTCGACGTGACACGGGCGCTAAAGCTGCGATCCCGCTGGCGACAGTTACGGAAGCGATACCGCAGCTGCTTGAAACGATCCACCATGACATGTACGCCAAGGCCGAGCAAGTCTACCGCGAAAGGAGGCGTGTCGTGACCAAATGGGAAGACTTTACCGTCAACCTCAACCAGAAGTGCCACGTCATCATTCCATGGTGCGAGGTCGAGGAATGCGAGGACGCCATCAAGGAGCGGAGTGCCCGAGTCGCGTGCGTAACCCTTCCATTTGGATTGACAAAAATGAATCTGTTGAGGCTGACTCTGCAACTTCGCCTTCGCGCACAGTGACACTGATGAACCCGAAGATGAACGCGCGCCGAGTATGGGCGCCAAGTCGCTCTGCATCCCGCTCGACCAATCTCCCTACCCGGACATCGCTGGTCTCAAGTGCCCACAATGCGGCAGCGACGCCAAGCGCTGGACCATGTTCGGTCGCTCCTATTAGTTGTGCTGCGGGGCTGCTGGGGCCAGAAAAACCTTAGCAGCGCGAGTGTGAAGATGTGAAGGAAAGAAAACTTCTGCATACGTGTATGCCAAGAATACAGAAAAGGTCATGGGCACGTTTCTCCTGCAGGACTCTGCAGCGCAGATCTGAATGCCTGTCTGCGCGCTCGCAAGTATACGAGACACTTCCTTTGAACCTGTGGCAGCCTAGGAGCCGTGTCCCGCCTTCGCGCCGTCGACGTACATGTTTCTCGTTGCTGCCGGCAGCTGCGCGACCATGCCATCAAGCTCCTTTGTGACCTTGACCTGACACCCCAAGCGCGATGTGTCCGTCAGGCCAAAGGCCAGATCGAGCATATCGTTCTCGTCATCCCCTGGCTCTTCAAGCTTGTCGTACACGTCTGGCTCGAGGATGACGTGGCATGTCGAACATGCTATTGAACCTTCGCAGGCGCCTGATGCAGTTTCAACCAAATTCAGTCAGTCTGGGTATATGAACGTCTCTGACACGGGCGGACAAGGAGACTCGCCTTCTAAGTCGATGTCGTACTCGTGTGCGATGGACAAAAGGTCATCGCCTTCGTTCACTTCGACTGTCTTGATGTCGCTGCCTTTAGAGTCCCGGAATGTCACCTTAATCCTGTAAATGAGAAAGGGGCATCGAGCAAGCTATCAGTCAGCGTCGCTGGACTTGTGCTCCATTACGAGGCCACTCACCCTGTCCCAGGTTCTGGTCGTTTGAGCGAGCCGTGCTGCGCCCCTGTTGCCGTGAAGATGATATCAGAACGATCAACAAACCGCCATCATGGGAGAAGCCAGCTGCGCAGTAGCCGCCGAATCTCACTTGAGCTGCAATGGAAGTACCGCTTTGAAGACACCATCTTCGAAGGAAGCTGCCTTCTGGCCACGCTGCGGAGCGCCACGTCTCCCAGCAGGCTGTCCACGCTAGCAACGAGGCGGCTCGGAGCACTCTTGCCGGTCGCGGCACCGCTTTGACATTTGCAAGCTATCAATGAAGAACCGTTACCTGCATGGAGAAGTGCAGCAGATGACGTTGCAACAGAGCGCAGACTCTCTGTCCGGCTCGACGTTTGCCATGTGGCGCGCAAGAGCGCAGCGTTGGATCGTGAGAGCATCTTGCACCTTTCGGCGGTGGCGTGAGAAATCTCTGACGCTCGAGCTAGATTTGCGCTTCTATCTGAACCGGGGGCGGCGTGGAGTCGCAAGAAGCCTAACCAGTGATTCGGGTTGCTGTCCTTGGCAAGCCTCAGGATGGATCAGGTGATAGTGAGCAGCATTCGATTTTGGAAAGGCAGGAAGATCGATCGCACTTCGCGTATGCATGGCATGAATTTTTGCGGCACAGTTCTCAGCGTCTCGTCCATTTCGCCTCTCAGCATTAACATCACGGGAAAGGTTGAGCCGAGACATAATCCCGCCCCTACGATCATGATCTTCATGCTTCCTTGCTTTCTCACTTCTGTCTCTCTCCTCATACAATACAATCGGTTCTCCTTCAACTTGCTTAGTCGTCGCACCCATGTGGGTGCTATCTTGGCATCCGGTTCAAGCAAGTTGGACGCAGGAGCAACTGGCTTTCTGGCATTCATAATTCAGGTCAAGCAATCTGAACGGAGGAATGGCCCTGCAATTCCTCCGGGTAGTCTAGCTTTCTGGAACAACCCTGCAGCACTTTTGTGTGCCCATTCATGGCCAAGGAAAGCTGGTTGAAAGAACCTCTTGGCTATGAAAGTCCAAAAATGTGGCTACTCCCCCTTTCGGCGACTAGACTTGAGTGCCAAGATACCATCTGATCGACCCCAGACCTTTGACCTTGGATCTACTTGTGGCAGCCAATTGACAATCGTGTCGATAATTAGCTGTGGAGCGTAGACGCGCGCCCGGGGCCTAACGCAACCCAACGCAGCACTTCTGTCGAGGAAGGAAACGGCTACAACTTATGAATGGCGGTTAAGGAGGCGGCCTTCAAAAGGGAAAGTGTCTCTAACTGGCGCAATCTGTTCAAGATTAGGTCAGCTCCTTACCGCCAGGTCATGGACACGCAGCAAGAAGAGCGGGAAGCTCTCCACTGCCTAGCACTGAAATACCTCTTTGTTGCGAAGAGTAGTAGAATCTGGGGCTGCAATCCGATAATCCAATGCATCACTGGTGTTAAATCACCATATCGCTCACGTCAAATCATGCATCCCAAGATCTACGCCTTGTCACCGCTGCAACTTACCTTGCCCCATTTGCTCGCCGTTCGCAGCGTAACTCTCCGCAGCTGCTCCGTACGGTTGCTGATCCAAGGCAGCGGTGGCAGTGCCAGGCGCAGCATCAGCCCGATAAGCCTGGCCTTGCTGTGTGGCCCCGTTCCAGTCCGCGGCGGCAAGTCCGGCGTCCTGCCGCTGCTTGCCTCCAAGCGCATTGATCCATGCTGACCCATGCACCATTTTCGGGGTTTCGGGACGTCCGACCTGGCCCTGGCGGCTCGCCACTCCTGTGTTGTACCCCAGCTGGTACTCTGGCGGCGGAGCGCTCGACGCGCGCAGCATCTCCAGGATATCCGGATGCTGCTGAACTAGTGACGTGATGTGCACGAGTTCCGGTCGACTCCATAAGCGGATGCACTCATGCGTGAACTTGCAGCCGCATGGGCGCCATCTCCAGCTTCGGTGGCGATGGGGGCGGTGGCGGCTCTTCGGTGCGAAGTCCTCCATATGCATCCTCCTGGTCCAGTCCAAAGCCTGCAAGTGTGCCACTGTATTCCTTGCTGTACGAATATGGCAAGGTCGGGTCGGGCTGTCCTGCGGCTGGCTGCTGTCCCTCGATGCCGGCACGGCTTCCGTGCCGGGCGCGTCAACGTGTGCAACAGGAATAGAAGCGAATGGTGCGTCTAGGTACAACCTCGCAAATGTCTGCTCTGGCGCAAGCAGATTGCGCTTGCCCATCAGGTCCGATGGACACATATAGTGGTCGACTAATTGGCCAACTTGATACCAGGCGATAATTTGACCGCCTTGGTACGCCGCACGCTGATGGTAAGAGTCGGCGTCGGTGTGCGGGCACTGCACCAGCTTTGGCATGACTGGCGCGGCGCCAAAGTTGAACTGCGACAGTTCTTTCAGCGGCGACAGCTGGCCGCTCGGATCCGCCGGGTCGTACAGATGGTAAGTGTAGGCGCCGGCACCGCCATTGTCCCAGATGATCGCGCCGTGCGACAGGGCTTGGTTCCTGCACCGTCAGAGGATGATGACCATTGCTAGGATGGCCGCCAGGGTGACCTGTCCAACTATCCCGGCTCCGACGATGACGGTGACGTCAACGCCTTTGGCGGATGTTTTGCCGGGCGGTGAACTTGATGACGATGCAGCGCCTCTGTCAGCGAAGGTTGTGGAGTTGTTGGCGCTGTTGCTCGTTCCGGAACTGCTAGTGCTGCTGCTATTTGGAAACAAAGGCGCCTGTGTGAGGGAGTTGATGCTGCTGCTAGCGAGACCACCAAGGGCGTGCACTCGCGTGCTCCTCGTCGAGCGCAAACGAGAGCATTCGCGATTCCGTCCGCCCAACCGTCCGCTTCAGCCGGGTCCTGGTTTGCCATTGACCCCAGTACGGTATGCAGCGATGAAACGACGGACGGGTAGGCGGACGGAGACGCTTGTACCTCGGACAGCAGTGATGAGTAGCTGTCGTCGTATCTGCCAACGTATGCATACCCGCCGGCGCCTGTGCAAAGGAAGAAAACAGACAGAGGTTGCAGTCAGACTGGTCCAGAGGACGATATCTCTTCGTAGCAAGGGATTCTACGAACCGAAAGACGGGCCATGAGGATCGGATCTCTGGTGAGAGCAGGATTAGGTGCGGCCAAGACTGCTGTGCGCACCGGCGCAGCCATCACCGTGCTGGCCAGCACGGCGATTCACGTGAACGAGGGCACGTTGCTGATCTGCTCTCAGTCTCGATCGCTGGCGTCGGGCAGCAGCGGTAATTTGTGACCTTGACACTGGTCCGGTGCAAGCAGATGGTCCCCTGAGAGTATGTGAAAGCTGGAGGGGAGAGGAACTGCGGAAGTGAAGTGCTTTCATGGGCTAAAGAACAACGCTGACCGACAGTTTAGTGTGGATTGCCCTGCACATGTCAGGCAGTGCCAGAGCAGGCGTGGAGCGCCTGTCAACGTCTAGGAACGAGCACGAGCACGAGCTCTGCAATAGAAATGTAAATCCGATCGGAAAGGCCGAGATCCGAATTCCGAGAATAGAGCTTGGGTGAACGAGTCAAACCCCCGCCAGCCTCGGATCTATCGCCAGCAAGTGGCAACCCGCCATGCACCACCACCTACACACCCTGCGGGCACAAACCAGGCTGGGCACCTATTCCAAGGGCTTCTTCATGACAGCAGACACACTATCCCAAGGCCTGCTGGCGACGAGCCAAGGTTGACCATCCACCTCAAGATCGCCTTTCAAACATCTGATAAACTGATGCCTCGTGCCCTGATGTGGATGGCCTCCAGACCTCGTCGCCCCCTCCTCCATGTCCACTCTACTAGGCGCCGGATCGGGGCTTGATCCGCCAAGCGTTCTTGGACATGCATAGGCCGGCCTTCGGCGGTATTTGGTCACAGAATTCACGGCATCAAATATTCCATTGACCATGGCCTTGCGGTATCCCATTCACATGAAAAGTCGTAATAGTTACAAGAGAGGAGGCGGTGCCGAGCAAAGCAGTGAAGAGAGCGGGCATTTTATCAGAACTGCGGCACACCGACGGTCACGCCGTAGTCGCTGCCAGAGACTCCGGCAATCTGCAGGACGGCGTTGAAGACTCCTCCCAGACCTTCGCCGCAGACGAGGCCGGCTGTGAAATGTAAACAATGGAAGGTCCTAATCATCGTCAGCGTGTGTTGCGCAGTTCAATATATGGACTACTCACCTGCCAGCACATATGCGTACGTGTCCCAGTTGCGCAAGTTCTTCCGCTGCCAGAGGAACGAGAACGTAGCGCCCACAGCCATGGCGATGGGGTAGTACACCTGGAGAGGATTGCAGCGATTTCAGCATCCTCCACGTCAAGACAAGGCATCAAGCACCACATCAGCTCTCACCTGCGGTAGAACGAACGCAAGGCCGACGGCGTTGAAGTTAGGCACCCATACCTTGTACTTTTGCGGGACGAGGAAGTGCTTGATGAACGGGACGATAGCGCTGAAGATGCCGAGGCCGATGGCGACCATACCCGAGACGAACGGGATGGCGTTCGGAGTCGTGACGGCGACAGTGACCGACCTCCATGCAGCAACGGACGGTGCACTGAACTGGCACTTGCCCTCGTCAAACAGTGGACCGTTGATCACACACGGGTACGCCTTGGCAAAAAGCACGTACATACCGACGCTGAACGGCACGGCGAATAGGCTGCCGATCAGCTGCGCGTAGTACTGCGTGCGCGGACTCGCGCGGATCAGATGCCCCGTCTTGAGGTCACCCAGCATGTCCACCGCGTGGCTCGCCGCCGAGCTCGCAATCGAGCCGGCCAGCAGATTCTCCAGCTGTGCAGGCGGGCCCGTGCGACCTTCCGCCTTGAGCGCACCGCCGACGACCAGCTGCGACATCTTAGCGATCGTGCCGAGCGGGTTGATGTCCGTCGTTCCGCTCGCTGTGCGACAGATTATGGCAGGAGCACATCATCAGACAACGACTCACGCGTGGTATCTGGACCAGAGACTCACAAGCAACGCCGATGAAGGCAAAAATCCAAGCGAGCAAGATCGACAAGATGACGTTCCCGCCGTTCATGTGGAACTGGAGCGTGCAGACGAGAATGGTGACGACGCAAGACAGAAGCCAGCCGGACGGCCATGACCAGCTCTGGACCTGCTGCGACTTTGGTGCAGGGTCGAATTCGTCCTCGTTCTCTTGCTTGTCCAGCTTGCGTGCCGCACGGTAGACGTTGACGGTGAGACTCTTGATCGAGCGGTAGATCGCTGGCCCAGTGATAGCGAGCTCAGCAAACGAGTAGAACAGCATCATCGCAACACCTGTAGCGAAGGACCTCAGAAGAGCGTCAGCACTTGTTCGCCCAATTGATCTGCCATGTGCAGAATGCACCGGCACACACCTGGCCACATGAGGAAGTAACGCGGCGATGTTGTGCGCATCGACGTGAACGAGTAGGCGAGCGGCTCGATCTCCGACTGCCTTCCGACCGTGACGCCCGAGTGGATGGTCAATGGTCCGATGAGACCCCAGGAGAGCAGGGCGCCAAAGAGGAAAGACCACGATGCATTCATGCCACTGAGGACGCCGGCGCCTGCATTAACAGACCAGGGGAAAGAGAAGCGTGAGTACGACCGCAATCACGCTGAACTTGTAGTCGTGGTTCGTACACGCACCGAAGAAGGCCGGTGTAAGCTCGATGATCCAACCCCATGAGTCGACGATGATGGCGCTCTTTCCGCCCCAGGCGTAGATCCAGTAGAAGATGTGCCAGTCCTGTAGGATGCCGGGCACGTACTGCTGCACGACTACGAGGATGAACGCGGCGACGAATGCGAAGAGAAGGCAACGCGTCTTCTTTTTCATCGCGGCGTCGCCGCCGGGTGCGTGCAGCGCGCGGATCGTCAGCGCGGTGGCTGTGGCAGAGGGGAAGACGAGGCGCTGGCGCAGGATGTAGAATTTGCGCAGCGGGATCGCAAAGAAGACGCCGTAGTACGCCGAGCAGAGTGAGAAGGTAATGAGTCGGCCAAAGTCGGTGATTGGATCGTTCAGTAGGCCGAGCTGCGCCGCAGCGGGAATGGCAGCGACGAACATGCCTGCACGGGCAATCCATGACACAACGTCAGCAGCTTGCAAGCACCAGCAAGGCTACCTTCCTCACTCACCGGTAAGAGAGCCACTCGCTGTGGCTGCACTCTGGACGGTCACATTCTCCTTGGGACCAAAGGGTTCGCGAAAGCTGAAGAAGCCGCCCTTTTGGCGGTCGGCAGAGTTGTTTCGGTTGATCGCCTTGTTGTTTCGGCTGATCACCTTGAGGATACGAGATCTGAAGGAACCGTCCTGTTGGCGGTCGAGAGAGTCGTTTCGGCTGATGGCCTTGATGATACGAGACCTGATGAAGCCGTCCTTTTGGTGGTCGAAAGAGTCGTTTCGGCTGATCGCCTTGAGGATAGCGCATCCGATCAACGAGCCGAACAGCGAAGCGCCAAAGGTGAAGCCCGTCTTGAGGCCGAGGTAGACATTGGAAGCGGCGATGATGAGACCAAGCAATGTACCGACCAATAGGGATCGGAACGTCAATCCCGTGCCAATCTCGACGGGCATTTCACTCTCAGCAAACGGCTGGCCACTGGCGACGTCGTACGGCTCAAAGTCCTCCTCTTCGATGAGGCCGTCAGAGCGACTCCTCTTCTCCGTCTCGTACGGGATGGAGTCAACGCCAGAAACGGCGGCAACTTCGTCCGAGAGGTGCTTCTTGTTGTCGCCAAAGCTACCGGATGCCGAGCCGGAGAGCGACGCTTGCCGCTGCAGTTCGCGCGAAATGCGGTCGGCGGCCATGTCGGCCGTGCCGAGCGGCTGCAAGTCGTTGGTACCCGAGCTTGCCATTTTGGGGTCAGCAGTAGCGCAGGAGGAAGGCCAGGGAGGATGGGAGCACAGACAAGTGCTGAGGCACAGCCCTTTGCCGCTGTGCTAGGAAAGACGGGAAGGGGTTAAGAGATCAAGCACAGAGAGCACGATCAAAGCGGAGGGCAATGGGAGAAGCACGACTTTGTCAGATATATATGTCAAGCCCTTCGTTGGAACAGGAGGCCTGCGAGCGTCGAGCGGTCTGTCCTGCTGATAGCAAGATTGTTCCTGGACGAGGATTACGTGCATTGTCAGTGCGAGACCCCACGCGATCGGTGCTCTCAATTGTCACGCGGGCGTGAAAATTGTGTGCACCGCGTGCTGATTGGCTGTGTCGAAAATGCTGCATCGGCGATAACAGTCCCCTCTGTTGTACCTGAAGGCCTGAACTCGAATGACATGTCTCATATGTGGGAGTACGTAGAGATTAGAGATACACGACGCGGTGCCGCGTGGAAACCCCTTGTTGGCGTAGAGCGATGGTTCGTATGATGAATGGCAAATGTATTTTGCGCTCCCGATGCCCAGAAGGCAGAAACAACAGGCGTATCAAGAACTTCCCGCCATGCGGTTACGAATTGGGGATGCAACCTCAGCCATTTCCTTGGGCAGTCGGCTCACGCGGTCAGCTCCTGCGGTAGGAGCGCCAAGACGACTAGCCTGCATCCTCCGTATGGCCTGAGGGATGTCAAGCGGTAGAGAGCGGGAACTGTGGCCGCCACTCTGCGCTCGGAATAGGACTTCGGGGGATGAAGCGTGACAAATTTAACCTTGCGCCTTGATAATAAAAAAAGACGCTAAGGTCGTGCATCAGGGGTGCGAAGAGCGAAGTGCCAAGACTCGGCATGGATGGTCATCGAGGCATCTAGGTGGGAGACGAGACAGAGATAAGGGAGGACAGTGAAGCAACAGTCAGAAGGCGCAATTTTGGTGCTATTACGTAAGGTGATTGAACGCAGCACCACGTGTCAATCGTTCATCCTAAAGTGCTTGGCAGCAGCAGCGATTCCCTTGCCTTCCTATTCCGCGCATCTCGGTGGTGCTTTAGTACATATGAGGGTGTTCGAGGAAATGGAGCCACACTGTTTTTTTTTTTGAATTCAGGTGAAAAGTGGATTCAACAACGAGAACCACATTCACATGCCCACTCGCCACGCGTACTTCCAGCTCGAGGACCATCCGGCAATATACGCACGCTTTATGAGGCAATCTCCTGTCTTCTACGCATTTAACAAATGCATGCCAACAGCCGCCCGCCCAGAGCCGAAGACCACATGAACGGAGGAGCAGCCGATTTGAGGCTTGTGTCGCAGGGGGCGTGGGCCGTGGCACTGCTGCAATGCAGGTTTGTACATACGCTCACTCATGCATGTCCTTCGCCGACACGACAGCCAGCACGCAAAGAGGGCGAGCTATGATGAAAAAGCCTAGCTGGCTTTGCAGCGATTCGCATCTGTGTCGCCGTCTGCATCCTTATAGCCGGCTCGCTCCTTGCCTATGCGCTTGCCGCCTACACTCCGTCGTGTTATCCTGGTCATTCCTCATCACCAGGGTGTTACTTCTGCGACCGGCTGCTTCGGAAGCAAGTGCGGTCTACATTACGACATGCGTACCGTGCAATGCACATGGCGCAACGCCAGCGATCTCTACGCTTCGCTGCCCGTGCGCCAGGTAGACGTTCTACCCGACCAGGCAGTCGAGCCTCCCGCAAGCGCCAACCGCCTCGAACATGTTGATCTTGTGGTTCTCGGCGCTGAGGAGGTAACGCCTGTTGTACTGGTGGCTGCCGCGCCCGCCCAGAGCGCGGCGGATCACCTCGTCGCCCGAGTCGCTGCAGTCCCCATCTGTGTTGGGTTCAGGCCAAGCGCATTCACATGCAACACACAGAGTATGTAGACGTCAGCGTTCTCCTTCCCTGCTTTGTCGCAGCATTGAATGACTTCATGATGGCCCGAGCTTTGGACACACACCGCAGTACTTAATGCCGTCCATCGAGGTGTATCCAACACTGTATGCATCTCTGTCTTCGATGCCGCTGTTCGAGTAGAACGAAGAAAGTGTGTGCCGCCCTTGGACCGAGTTCTCGTGCGACGGGACACAGCGCGTCATGGTGCCGGCACCGCCCTCTTACGTGGATGCAAATGGGTACTCGTCGCAGCTAGCAGGAATCAGAAGAAGGTCGAATCAGGCACAAGACCACATGGGAGTGCAGAGTGTTGTTGAATTTGGCCCTGTGGCTGTCTGATGAGTTTCTGTTTGCACCGGACACGCAAAAGTCAACACAGAAGCAGGAGGTCAGCATCCACAGAAACGCAGTCGACATCGACATAACTATGCCGTCGTCACATACCTGGAGCGAGGATTCGGTGACTTGTACGTGTTCTCGTTACGGTGCTCGGAGGAGTCGTTGCTGTCGCGATGGAGCTTGGCCAACATACCCTTGCAGTCGATGGCGTAACAGTCGTTGCTGCAGATGTTGGGTACTTCTATCGGCTCGCGCGATTAAAGACGGTCAAGTGATAAGCGTGGCATATGTCCGAGTATTGTCGGTGTTCGCACAACCCCTGCATTCTTTTGCTTGTTCAGCACAGACACACTTACTCGAGCAGTCAAATACCACGGTGGCTGCGCAGGCTATGCCGGCGGCGGCGGCGAGAAGGGCGTACACCTGAAAAGCATGATGTAGGAAAAAGAGCGGTTTTCAGAATATCAAAACAAGGTAGATATGCAAAGCAAATGGGTAGGAGGAGAAAGGATCAGGGGTTCGCTAAGTATAAGGATGCAACGGAAGTAGGATTGGTATAGCGCGAGTCTTCGAAAGATGGTCTTTATACGCATTCGCAACCCTCGCAGGTTGCTGATTCACGTGGCTTTCTGTGACACCCTCGATGCGATGCGCTGGCTGCAAATTGCTACCGCGCTCTCTTAGCTTGGCGGATCTCTGATGTGCTCATCTGCATAAATTTCTTTAAGGTTCGTTCGGGCGTGCGAAATGTAGAAAGAAAAACAATCGCCAGGCAAAGAAGCAGCGCTAACATGTTGGTGCGCTCGTAAAGAAGATGTCCTTCCTGCGGCCCCTGGGCGATGCTGATTGGTCGCGCCGAAGACCTGCCGGGGATGCAAAAGGTGAGAATGTGTCGCCGGATGTGTGCGTCTATAGTTGGGGCCGGCTTCACGGGAAGGGGGAGACCAGCTAGTCGCTCTTGGCAACGGCTGGATCTCTGTGACGTCTCCAGGAAGGGGCCTTTCTCCGCCACCACGCGCTTAGCAGAATCTTCGATCTTCATAAGCCCCCAAGCGCCAATGTAGGCTACTTCAGGCCTCAGCAGGCAGGCATCGTGCCTCTTAGCAGATTGCTCTTTGCATGTGAGATTGCGCTAAAGGAAAAAGCACCGCATGCCACGCACACACGACGCGACGTGTTTTGACCAGTCCTGAACATTGCGTGGGTGCACACACATCACATCTACGCATCGTCGACTTGAAGTGGGTGGGCAATGGGATGTGCTTAATGGTCTCAAATCTCGCCTCTTACCATAAAGTGCCGGACGAATCAAGTGGAGGAAGGCTCCGCCTCTCTCTCACTCTCCAAGGCTCGAGCGCATGTCCTTTCAACTGCGCGGCCAGGCTTGTGCAGGCCACTGTTTGGCAGTATGGTCGTAACGAATGAAAAAAAAAACTCACAGGCAGATCTTACTCATCGAATAGCAGGCGAGGCGCATTCAAGATATACCGACCACGGTGAATTTATTTTGCACAACCTAAAGCGCTGCCCCTCGCTCTTTCGTATATATGCGCCTCCTCGTCACGTTCGCTTGTCCTCTCATTTTCTCGCGAGTCGCGGAGCAACGCTTGGATCACTCGAGTGCGTTGCTGGCACTTACCGCTCACACCGAACCTGCGCAACGCAGGCAAGTCCGCAAAGGCGAGGATCCGTTGCAGAACTGGAGACGGGGAGCCGCAAGGGATGGCAAAATGAGCCTTAGTCCTCGCGAGCTGTCGCTGTTCTCGGCTTCGGGACGCAGTATAAACGCCATGACGGGCGTCAACTGGCGGCATCCCTATTCAGCGCTCGTTGTCCACCAACGGGAACCTTAAAAGCAAAAGGTTGTACCTGCTGTCTACTCGAGTCGGTTGAGTGCAACGCCTGGCACGAGCGAGTCCGGGTCGCACTGCGCCTCTCAGCGCTTCTGGCATGACCTCCACTACTTGCACTGAACAAATTGTTGGCACCTGTAATAGCATTTCCCCGATCACCGTGCACCTCGCCGGCCATCGTACTCGATCTTCTCGACTTTAACCTCGCCTTGGATGAGCTGGTAGACATATGTGACTACGGTCGTGCCCTGTATATCGAGCACTGCCAATTTGAATGCAATGCCACGGTCAGTGTGATGGTGCGGCATTAAATCATGGGCGGATGAGGAGACTCACGTGCAAAACTAGGCGTTGGACCGGGTGCTGGCTTTTGGGGCTGCCCCCCGCTCTTCTTCTCGGCACCTTCACCCTTAGCGGTCTCGGCGCCTTCTGCCGGCTTTGACTCGCCCTTCTGCTCGCTCGCTTTCCCATCATCTGCTTTGGCTTCCGGATCCGATTTCGACTCGGCTTTAGACTCCCCTTTTCCATCTTCCTTCGCAGCCGCTTCAGGGGCTGCCTCCTTGGGATCCCCCTCCTCTTTGGCCTTTGATCCACCCGGCTTCTCATCCTCGTCAGCAATCGGCCATGCGCTGTGCCAGGCTCCGGTCGCGCTCCCTGGGTTGACGAAGAAGCGTCCTTCAAATTCGAAAGCTTCGAATTTGTGCGTGTGGCCCGTGATGAGGATGTCTGCGTCCATCGCACGCGCAAGTGCTGAGAGAGAATCCGTATCGCCTGCCGGCACAATCTGATGCCCGTGCATGACACCTATCCGAAGCGGCGGGTGATGCAGCAGAAGAGATGAAGGAAAGTGTGGGTTCTGTGGCATCAGGCCAGAATCAGTCACCTGCTTATCGCTGCGCCATCCTGTGGTCGCTCACGCACCTCGTCCCAGTCGCCTTTGACGACATGAACGTCACCGGCTATCGTCCGCAGATAGTCATACGTCCCCTTGTCACAAATGTTGCCCGTGCAGATGATCTGCTGGATCTTTCCAGGAACGAGCAGCTTTTTGAAACGTTGTGGAAGATCATGGGCGCGGTACGGTAAATGAAGGTCTCCTGCACGACCATTAGAGCAATGTTCACGACGATGAGCTCTTGCACAGAGACCAGCGTCGGATGGATCGCGATGCACTCACCGATCACGAGGACGAGCATGGTCAGCTGGGAATGAATCAATGCTCTTTGGCTGCTTGGTCTCGCTGGAGGCGCCGCTGGCGAGTTTCGATCCGGATCAGGCGTTTGATGTCACGACAGCAGAAATGCCTTCTGCGGGGAGCGTTCTACTCAAGAGAGACAAGCTCCAGCCAATTCCGGATCGACCTTGGACTCAAAATAGCATGGTGGGCATCGAGTGCGGCGCGGCTCGTCAGCAACTGGCTCAGGCTGCAGGACGTATGTAGGTCACTGGCGGAACGCGATTCTTGACGCGCGCTGTGACCTGATGCCTCACGGCCTGAGGACAATCAGCATGCATCACATCGTCAGAGAGCAACACTTGCAACAATATCAGACAGCTCCCATTGTGACTCTTGAATCTTATGCGCCTTCCATCTCTTTTCTCTTGACTTCCATCTTTGACCCATGACCATACAGCTTGGTGAACTGTGGATCTGAAAGTCTTGGTCGTACAAACTTCGTCAGTTCTGCCTAAATCCCCCCTTTTCGCTCAGACATCATGACGGAAGCTGCTGCTGGAGCTGCCGCATCGGAAGAGGAAGTCGATGTGCCGTACACCGAGTAAGGCCTGCTGCTTCTGGAGTACCTTGCAGTGATACTCACTCAGCCTTGGTCACTGGCGCGCATACAACAGGGTCGATGCTCTGCAGGATCATGTACGGCTTCTGCAAGTGTGGAGCACCTTCATACAATTTCTCACCTCGCAATGCCCTGGCGCTTTGGTTACAGGGTATTTCCGTTGCGGACATCACCAAGCTTAAGACCGCGGGTGTCTCCACTGTGGAGGCAGTCAATTCCACTACTAGGAACAACCTTGCCAAGATCAAGGGATTCTCCGAAGTCAAGGTTGAGAAGATCAAGGTGCTCTGACCTCTATGCTCGACATGCGTTTTGCCACCTCAGCTGATGGGCTTGACTCCCGGATGTGACCATACGCGCTTTGCTCATCCCTGCAAACCCATTAGGAAGCCGCATCCAAGATCGTGGTTGCTGGCTTCTTGACAGGTACCGAGATCAGTCGTGTCAGAGAAAAGTCTGCTTGTCTTCCATCTTCTGCAAGTCGATCTCAGACACCTGACTGTATGCGCTCTTCAGAGTTCTGCCCATCTCCACAGGCTCTAAATCCCTTGACGCGATTCTTGGTGGCGGCTTCATGACATGTTCCATGAGCGAAATTTTTGGAGGTCAGACTTTTTAGGACATTTCTTCAGCGTGCATTCTCACTAACTGACCGTTATCGTTAATAGAATTTCGGTGCTTCATGTCAGCCTACGAACCTGCATACAGCCTGCTGACCCTTCTATCCTCGTGAAAACAGCTGCGGGAAGACTCAGATATGCCATACCATGGCCGTCACTTGTCAAGTACGGCTGTGATGCGTGAATGTGAAAGACTACCGCTACTGACCTCTTCCTTGCCGAGCAGCTTCCGGTTGAATCAGGCGGCGCTGCAGGCAAGGTTGCGTATATTGACACAGGTGAACGGTCATCTCGGGTTGAGCTGACGGCAAAGCCACCTGCTGAACAGCCTCCTCTGGTCTCATTCACAGAGGGGACATTCAGACCGCAGCGCATCGCTGCAATCGCCAGGCGCTTTGGTGTGGACGAAGACTCTGTGCTGGACAATATTGTTGTTGGTCGAGCGCTCAACAGCGAGCACCAGCAAGAGCTTGTCACTCAACTTGCCGCCAAGTACGTTCGAGTTTCAATGTCACGGATCGAGCGAGCGAGACACTGATACTCCAGACTGATGCGATCATGGTAGGATGGCCGAAGAAGTGAGACACGAAAAATATACAAAAGAGCTGGCCGCTACTGAAACCCACTTTCCTTCCCAACCAGGGCTGCTACAAGCTCCTTATCATCGACTCGATCATCTCTTTGTTCCGGGTCGACTACACGGGACGTGGAGAGCTGGCCGCCCGCCAAGCTGCGCTGAACCAACACCTTTCAAAGCTCACCCGCATTGCTGAGGATGTGGGTGCACGAGGAGAGCCGCTTATCTGCTCTGCTACAGCATGAGCTGACTAATTAATCTTCCGGGAAAGACAGTTCAACACGGCGGTCGTCCTTGTCAACCAAGTCTCAGCTGACCCAGGTGCGATGGCGTTCCAGGCAGACAAGAAGTGAGAAGCAGAAGATGTCGAACCGCCGCGTGCAAGCCGTCTGACTGCTGAAAACAAATGCATTGATCACGATACAGGCCGCTCGGAGGCCACATTCTGAGTCACGCTTCTTCCACCCGTGTCTCGTTGCGCAAAGGCCGTGGAGAGGAGCGCATTGCAAAGATTGTTGGTATCCACACGCGAGGTTGGACGGATCCTTCTCTGAATCCATTATCGTCTTTGCGTATCTCAGGTTGACAGTCCCGAAATGCCTGAAGGGGAGGCGACGTACCGCATCACCAGCGGAGGCATCGAAGACGTCGCTTAGTCCTCCTGTTATGCGTCGTCTTCTACAATTGCTTCCTCTCTCAAAGGAGAGTGGAATCTCGCTGTAGTCTAGGACCTGAGCCTTGTCTAGCAGAAGCGCTGCTCGCGCTTCCTGCTTGCCCTTCGCAGAGCAACATCGGCATAACCTTGATTGCATGCATGAGAGACAGAGAGATCATGGGTTGCTAACCATCAATAGATTTGTTGCTCATGCTCCTCTCCGTAGTTCCTTTTCTCGCTTCTTCTTCGCCTCTTTCTGCATGATAATGCCCACGAATGCACCAACGGTGCACAGCCCAAAGACAAGCAGCGCGGCCGGTATCCGGACTGCCCAGACGCGATCTGGGAAGTACGTGTGAATCGCAGAGTCTGGCGAAAAGAAAGGCTGGTGGAGGATGCATGAATTCAGTTTCAACGGAGCTCATTTTTCTGCCATCGTGAATGCTCACCGTGACCAACGCCCATATTGTGTAATAGGTCCAGATAAAGGCTGCCGTCATAAGCATCGAGCCTCCGAGGAGGCGATCGGAGGCGCCCTGCGCGGGAAGTACGATCGGGACGAGTAAGCTTACAGAACTGGCGTGTCAAGCGACGCTAGAATGCTTACCATGCTGATCCTGTTCTCCTATAACCTCGTCCACTTTTCGAGAACTTTGCAAGGCTGACCCGACGGGAACGAGCGCGACATTCAAAGGGCGTGGTCGAAGTGCATGAGGAGGTTGCATAGCGTTTCCATTTATTTTGATTGGTTACCGGAGCCCACGGGAGACGAAGACGCGGCAGCATCACACGACTCTCTCAACAGCCGCTCTCTCCGCATGATACATCAACTTCTTCATTTCTTCGCAAGCCCATTGTGGACCCCGAACACTCAGCTTCAAAGATCTGGATGCTTCAAGTAGATAGACAGAATATCCTCTGCAGCTTCTGTGGCCTGGTTTCTGCGACGTCCTGACGCCATCTCATCGCCATGTCTGTACCCGGTGTCGCTAGGGTGGCACCCAGTCTAGACACTGTTCTGCGCTTGTCGTTCGCTCGTCGCGTCGCACCTGCCTTATTGGCAACGCGAACGATTGCAACCACCTGCGAGCGAAGGCCGGCACCTTCTGCAAGCCCCGTCACATGCTCGATATGCCTTCCGCATATACTCTCTACGCACGGCTCGGGCTCGCAGCACCGATCGATCCATCGCAGTGTTCGGGTCCTCAAGTCCAAGCGCTCCTTCGCCGCCAGCGTCGACGAGGACCTCTCGCGAGCAGTTGACGAGGACGTGCAGGTGATGCGCACCAAGGGCAAGGGCGCCAAAGCGGCGAAAGCCTCACTGAAATCGAGCAAGACGAAGCGTGGTAACAAGGAGGCACAGGAGAAAGATGACGGGGACCGATATGCGACTAGCACGCGCAATAGCGAGCTGCCGGGCGAGACTTTCGACTCGGACAAGCTCACAGAGAACATGCTGAGGACCGTGGAGAGGTGTCGGTCGACCATATCGCATAAGGTCGGCATGATCGGCAGAGTAGATCCGAGTTCGTGCCCCTCGCCTTGGGACAGAATTTGTCCAGAGAAAGCAGCGGCCTTACCTTTTCCTCCTTAACTCTCTCTCTCTCTC